ATGGTTGACATTCTTCAAACATGAAGCCTTAAGTAGTGAAATTTCAGTGTGTTTTCTTTTTTTTCTGAATATGTTGTGATGATTGTTTGCTGTAGACCACAAGTGGAAACGAGAGGCTGTATCCTTCGCCCACGTCTTACATCCATGAGAATCATTTGCAGCTGTTTGAGTTTGTGGGGAAGATGCTCGGGAAAGCTGTATATGAGGTACGTGTCATGTCTAAAATATACCATGTCTGTAAGATCTTTGAATACATTTCAAACAAAATGTTTGGTTGAGCTTCAGTGTTTCACTGTCACTTCTGCCTATTCAGGGCATTGTTGTGGACGTCCCTTTTGCCTCGTTCTTCCTTAGCCAAGTCTTGGGTCACCACCACAGCACTTTCTACAGCTCCATTGATGAGCTTCCCTCACTGGATTCAGAGTTTTACAAGAACCTCACTTCCATTAAGGTAACTACACACACTTTTGACTTTGTCTTTTTTGCAATTTGCAGCTCACGTAGTTGTATTTCAGTGTCCGATATCCAGGGCATATTTCACTTCTGATTTGTTTTCAGCGCTATGATGGAGATGTAGGGGATCTGGGGCTGACATTATCCTATGATGAGGATGTTATGGGGCAGGTAAGGATGGGATATGTTTATACATTTTAATTTATAAATATACAAAATACATTAGTTAAGAGTTAACTGTATGTTTCATTGTAGCTTGTCTGTCATGAGTTGATACCTGGGGGAAAAACCATGCCAGTTACCAATGAAAACAAGTATGTGCATTTAAATTTGGTAAAACAATAAACGGATATGAAAGCACTTCATGTCTGAAATGTTGTTTTGTTGACTTTTTGTATTCTGTAGAATTCACCAGTTATCTTGATGATGTTATCTTTGTCATGTCCTGCAGAATCAGCTACATCCACCTCATGGCCCACTTCCGCATGCACACACAAATTAAGGAGCAGACAGCTGCTTTCATCCGAGGCTTCCGCAGCATCATTAATCCGGAGTGGTTGCACATGTTTTCCACCCCTGAGGTTCAGCGTCTCATTTCAGGAGATAATGCGGAGATTGATCTAGATGACCTAAAGTATGTACCAATTTACCTTTGTCTTTTTTTTTCGAATACGGAGGATGTCTTTTGCTTGTAGTACATGCTTTCTGTTTGTACAAACAGTTAAATATGTTCATCATTCTCAGGAAACACACGGTCTACTATGGAGGTTTTCACAGCAGCCATCGTGTCATCATCTGGCTGTGGGACATCCTGTCCAGTGATTTCAGTGCTGAGGAGAGGGCTATGTTCCTCAAAGTAAGGTGTCATTTGTTGAGCCAGATAATTTTTTTTTTATTGGGGCCACAATAGTTTAACCATTTATTATCTTTTTTTTTTTTTAATGTGTTTTCACAGTTTGTTACCAGCTGCTCAAGGCCACCTCTTCTAGGTTTTGCCTACCTCAAACCGCCTTTCTCCATCCGTTGTGTGGAAGTTTCAGATGATCAGGTAAGAAAAAAAGAGTTAGGAATATATATTTTTAGACACTAACACAGTATATAATACCACAGTTATATAACAAAAAGCAGTGCAAACTTTACACATTTCATTTTAGATAAAAGGTTAAAGGTAATAGAAAGACAGGAAGGAAAAAGTAATGTAGAATCCCTGAAATGGCTTGTTATGTTAAGCAAACATCGTATATAAACAATAGTGAAGGTAGTGGGATGGTATTATATGACAGAAGAAAGAAAGAACTGGATGAGCTCTGATGTGCACAATTAAAATCTAGAGAGGGCTACAATTTCTATTCAGATTCAGCCTGGAGAACCAAGGATAAGCAGACAGTTGCCTGAATCATTTACATTAATTAGATTATGTTCTTAGTGGGATCGCTGTATTTCATTTGCTGACGACAAAATTTAAGCTAACAAACACCAACTTCCCAGACAAATCATCACAAAGGAGGAAAGACATTGTTTGGTGATCTTAGCGAGTTTCAGCCGTGAAAGGTTCTCCATGAGCTGTTAAACATCAACATTTTATTTATGATTGTGTTTATTTGTCCTGATATATTTGATTGGAACTCCTGAAAATAAAGGACTGTGTATAAAGATGGCTGTCAAGCCTTCTGCTGTTGATTAAGTTAAACCTAAAGGTCTATACCAATATTATGTGCTGCTAGGTTAATTCCTGTGTTATGATTGTGTCCTTGTGTTCTGATGAATTTGACATTTTCTCCGATGTGTGTAGGACACTGGGGACACCCTCGGCAGTGTCCTCCGGGGCTTCTTCACCATCCGAAAGAGGGAGCCTGGTGGGCGACTTCCGACTTCATCTACATGTTTCAACCTGCTCAAGCTCCCCAACTACAGCAAGAAAAGCATCCTACGTGACAAGCTGCGCTACGCTATCAGTATGAACACAGGCTTTGAGCTCTCCTAACTCTGTTGCATCAGGACAATCTGCACAGGAGGGCTGTATTATACAGTCTGATACCAAGCAAGAGGCTCAGCTTACCTGCGTTGGAGCCTTTAACATCAAAGGGGCATCACTCAAACAAAACAGGACTCTTAAAGGACCCTTTACTTCTTTTTTTGTCTCTTTTATAATCTGGATGAGCTCTAAGGGAGTGAGCTCCAGTTAAGCTGTGTCTCCCATCAAAAGGGGGATGCTGTTTCTGCAGAACAATCCAATTTCTAACATCTTCCTCTCTCTTTTTACCCCTCCAGAAACTGAGTATACATGTTTCTCAGGCTTAACAGAATAATGAGTCTAACACTCCCACTTTAAGCGAACTGGAAAGCAATACAGAAGCAATGCAAGCCATTACACACATTGTCGACTCACTTGTGTAAAACTAAGCGATGCATTGTTACTTGTAAGCTTGCATTCCATTATCCCGGCACCCTTCAGCTTATATTGAATGAGTCTTAATGTGTCTTTCCTGAACATGATGCTTCTCGTATAAGTGGAAGACAAATCAATGTTTTGTGTTCAGTCTCCTTGAAGGAGTGGTGGCTCATAACGCCGATCCTGTCCGTTACGTTATGTCCCGTTTTTAAGGAAAATCGTTTTTGAGCTCTGTCCCTTTTCTCCCCACTAAAAGACACTGGGTCCACCTGAGAGAGACGTTGGCCTTCTGGTTTTCATGTTCCCAGTAGATCTTAAAAACCAACAATCTGCCTCAGTTCCAGTGCCGCAGCAAATAATCCCCTAAAAGGTTTGATCTTACTCTTCGATTTAAGAAAAAGAAAAGAAAGAAAGAAAGATGTCGTTTCTGTAGCATCAGTTACTTTTGACCAAAAGAACTGGAAATGTTTTGTCAGTATTTGTGTTTGCAGCTGTTCCATGTTGCACAACTTCCACCTTAAAAACACGAAGAAGAGCAAAGCAAACCAGTCTTCTTACTCTGTGTATCTAATGCTAGGGAAAAATAAATAATCTCACTACACCTTGGATTAATGCCGAGTGCCTCACAAATCGTCGTCACCTGTTGCTCACACGCTTGACTGTGTTTCAACCGTAACCAATAACCACGATTTGGAAACAAGCCATAGAAATGTGGGGGCTATGGTCCTGGATATATTCTCTGCTTATAGGAGCAACACAGAGCGGAACCACTGTAATACCACAACAACCGCGGAGGGCTTCACTACAATGCTCTGTGATCTCTGTGGACTTTTGAAGCCATGCGGAAAAGAATGATGTCATGGACTGGTTCGTCAACCAAATGCGACCGCTTGACTTGATGATGTTCCCTTGGAAACGTTGCACACAATTTTGCTGTTTGCGGCAGTTGGGAGGGAGGGGGAAAGGGACATGAGAGTGAATGTGACTTTATAAGCTTAAAAATTTTTACCTTACACAGGGTTCATTTACAGCAGAAAGTCCAGGCACAGACTTTTGGTTATTTGGAGAAAAAAAAAGGACTGCATCATTAAAAGCGATAGAAGAAGAAGAAGAAGAAGAAGAAGAAGGAAAAAAGTCAAATCTTAACAAAGTTCTTTATTATGCAAAAAAAAGTTTTTGTCATGAATGAAAATTGAGATTTTTGTTAATATGTAACCATGTTTCTAAGAAGTTATATGATGGCCACTAACTCGTGAAAAAAATAAGTGATTTATAATGAAAATGCAACCATTACATATATACACATAAGACTGGTTGTAATAAATTTATCTAATAATCTAATAATGATGTTAAAGGATGTTAAAATCAAACCTGACAAATCAGTTAAGGGGATCCTTAAAGTATTTGAGCAAGAACTGAAAGCACTGCAAATGGATTTATATGACACACTACTGCAACTGCTCACGAGTGCGTGTGTGTGTGTGTGGTAGTGTGCAAGAGTGGTGAAAGATACCTCACATGCTTGTCTGTCTCCCGATGAGGTGGCTCATCTGTTTAAATGATGTCAAGAGAAGACTTTGAGTGTACCAGTGATTGCTGATGCTGACTCTTTTAGTACAACAAATGAATAAATAAAAGGAAATTATCCCGGAAATGTTCTCAACCGCTCTTTGTAAGTTTTTTTTGTTCCCCCTTTCTCTTTTTAAAAGTGAATGTCTATGAATCTCGCTGCACTATAGTAAGGCGCATTATTGATTTAAAATATCCATGTAAGATTTGTCCATTTGTAAGATACCTCCTCCTGTAATGTTAAATAGTGTACACGAGTGTTATATAAATCATTTGATCACAATTTGTGGGTTTTTTTTCATTCGTTAATTAGTTGATTACAAACACCTGTAGAGCGAGATCCTGTTTAGAAAAAAAGAAAAAGCAAACAGTGGAAACACGCATGGGCCCGAGACACAGGCCTTTGTAAAAGGCTGGTAATTCACAGAATGCATGAGACATTAACATCAGGCTGTGGGATTGGTACATTTTCTGGTTCCCTTGAATACCGTGGATGGGGGATTATCGTGTAAATACGCTCGTCTGAAGCAACTCTCTCTCGCGCTCTCTCTCTGATTGCACCGTGTGACCCTTCATGAGAGGTGAACGGTGCTGCTGGGAAAGCTGCTGGTCGTTTTTACTCCGGCTGCTGCCTGAGATTGAAGCTTCTCAATAACCATGAGCCGTCCTCCGAGTCCGACTCCAGCACGATGGTTTAAGGCGCTGCGCAGGTAAAAAATAAAAATAAGTGAAAAGACCTTTGTTTTGGCCTACTTGCGAGAAATTGAGACTTATTATTGCAAATGACCTTAGATTAGATACAGCTGTTCTGGGTGGCTCAGCTTAAGCGTTCAGCTTTGTTAGTTTTATGTGCATCACCTGACTGTATGCACTGCAGTTATTCGGATTTTCAGTATATGCCGGTGGGAGGCTCTTGCTGAGCGGGTGCACAAGCTTAACTTCACACTGGTTCATTCGGAAAGGCCAGCGGTAGAGATTTATTGACTGACACAGACAGACATGAGTGGAAAAGTAAAGGCGTGCTCTGCTTGTCAGAGACATGGACGGCTAACATGCAGAAGGTGCAATGATAAAAGTGTGTGTGTGTGTGTGTGTGTGTGTGTGTGGGGGGGGACTGATTGTGCGCATTCGCCTTGTGATGTTAAAACTAGCGTACTGTTTCAGGACCAGGCTCGGGGACTCCTGTCTGAAGACGTATCCGCTGGAAAGCGTGGATCTCCTGAGGAGGGCTAGAGTCGCCTTTCAAGCTGGACGTACCCTGAAGGAGAACTTCAGACTGGCTCAGCTGGAGGCTGTGGTGCAGATGCTGGAGGAACACGAGTGTGACTTTGTGGATGCACTTGGAAGGGACCTCCATAAGGTCAGGGCTGAAGCGGTCTTCCTGCAGGGTTGTTGTTTTTAATAGTGAGAACTGATGGTAGAGTCAAATGTTTTTTTTCTTTTTTCTTTGACTTCATATTCGTCTACTCTGTTTTTAACCAGCCTCGGTTTGAAACGGTTGTGTCTGAACTGATCCTGGTCAAGAATGAGGCTCTATATGCTATTAACAACTTAAAGAAGTGGATGCAGCCACAGAAAGTGGAAAGGAACCTGGTAAGACTGTTTAAAGCATTTCTATCATGTTACTGGGATTAATCATGACCTTTTTCGAGAGAACATTCCACGTACTGCTACAAAGAAATGTATTGTGCTGAGCCCTGCAAAGCAGATTAAAACATAAGTTGCATTGCCCCTTTCTAAAGGAATAAAATGAGCTCATGTGGTTTTTCTGTTTGTGTCATGATGAACCTTACCAGCTTTTTACTTGTGCTATTTCACTTGTAATGTAATTTGTTCGGCCTGTGTAGTCCACCACACTGGACGACTGTCTGGTGATCAGTGAACCACTGGGAGTGGTGCTTATCATTGGGACCTGGTGTAGTCCTGTACAAATGTGCCTTGTGCCACTGGTCGGGGCCATTGCAGCAGGTGCAGCCAGTATTATTTCCTCATTTAGTTCTCCTGCACTCAGGCTAACTGACAGCAACTGATGTTTTATTTTCCATTTGTGTAGGAAACTGTGCAATCATCAGCCCCTCCGAGTCTACTGTGCACACAACAGAGCTTCTCCATCGTCTAATTCCCTTCTACTTGGATAATGTGAGTAAGCTAGCATAAAGGGACTGATTTTTCCCTGCAAGAACTTACAGTATTCTTAAAATATCAAAGGCAATACTTTCTTTTTTTTTTTTTGCTCTGAAGCTGATTAGACTGCACACTATGAATTTTTACTTTACTTGCTTTAACATAAGAATAACTGACTTTGGCTGCTACAGTGAGAGTGAAACACTTCATAGTTTTAGCTTCCAGAATAATTTGACTCCTTTGTAAGAATCTGTTTGAGCAGGTACCCTTTTATTGGCCTGTAATCAAATGAGCTTTCATTTGGTGAGATTACACTTTGAGATACTTAAATCTGGCATTTCAGAATTGAGCACTTTGTCATCCATGACTGAATATCTGACTCACCAGTGATATTGCTTTTGTTTTTTTTGTTTGTTTGTGTGCTTTTAGTTTAGTTGAATTATAAGAGATGCTTGTTTGAAGAGGGGGAACAAAAGGAATTCTCATACAAAACTCTTGTTTTCCTCAAGGAATGCTTCCATGCGATTCTTGCAGGCATGAGTGACTTGCCTGAAGTGATTGAGCTCAAATTTGATCATGTTTTCTTTACAGGTAATTTTTATTAGTCATCCTTTAATTTAAAAAAAAAAAAGTGTTCTTTGAATTGTTCACTGTTTAAGCTTGGCTGTCACTCTGCAGGAAACAAAGAGGATGGAAGCAAAATTGCTCTGGCTGCTGCCCGCACACTCACACCCGTCACCTTGATTCTGGGAGGGAAGAACCCATGTTACGTGGACCAGCACTGTGACATTTCCACCACTGTGCAGCGCATTGCTTGGGCACGTTTTCATAATGCTGGACAGAGTTTGGTGGCTCCTGACTACATTTTATGCCACACAGATGTCAAAGCTCGGCTGGTGCAGGCCCTCAAGTGCTGCCTGATGGAGTTTTATGGCTCTAATCCCCAAGAGTCACATAGCTTTGGCCGGATAGTCAATCTAGAGATCTTTAACCGTACTAGAGATATATTATGGAGATCTGGCAAGGTGGCTGTGGGTGGGCACGTGATAGAAGCAGAGAAATATATTGGTATGAAAAGCTGAATTCCTTGACACATATTGCACTTAATAGATTGCTTTAACATGGCTGTAATTTTATTTTATTTTTTAAATCTGAAGCTCCAACAGTTTTGACAGATGTGGCTGAATCAGACCCCGTCATGCAAAAGGAGATCTTTGGTCCAGTTCTTCCTATTTTGACTGTAGACAATGT